TCAGACAAGGAATCAACTCTTCAATAAAACTAAACTCACTGAAGCAGTATTACAGACTTCACAGTTACGTGGGAAAAAAATTAAAATTGTTATATTCCCAACAATCCAAGCAAATACAATGTTCAAGAATAGGAGAGCAGTAAGTGTTTTTCTTTTGCAACAATGAATTTAAATTAATCCTGAAGCTAAAAGTTATCCCCTTCAAAGTGAGTTCAGGTGTTCCCCAGCATTTTGAAAACTTACTGACTTTGTATCTTGAGTTTTCAAAAGGGCTGTGAAGCCTGGAGGAAGTTTTTGGTTTTTTAGCATTATTAAGGTTCATCACCATCACTAAGAAAGCTGTGGTTAAAAACCAGTTTTGTTTTAATTGAAACCAAGCAGACTTTTTTCCCCCTTTACAGAGATTTTTACAAAAATATTTTTTCCATAACTCTCCTGTTCCCATACTGAATTCTATCCTACCTTTATAGAACTTCCCACTAACAGGAGCAAGTCCAGCAGCAGTGCTGGCTGAACTAGGTCAGAAAAGCAAGTGTTAACAGAACAGTACTATCAGCAGAGAATCTAAATCTCACCTGTGCAAAAGGAACAGTTTAGCATCTTTGTTAACTGATGATACCAGAGACCTTTTGCAGGCTGTAAAAAAATTCAAATATAGTTACTTTATGATTTTCAGAAGTGCAAAAAGAGAATGGGGAAATCAAATCTTATTAGTTTCTCCAGTGAAGTCTGAGGCCTAATAGCTATTAGCCCTTTGAAAATTTAGTTTTAAAAAGGAAAGCAGAAGCTCAGTATACCTGAACTCCTGCAGTAGTCATCATGAGAACTTTAAAATAGAGTCCACTGCTACACTGTTTGTAGTTCTGTAGTTGATAGAACCATTAAACTCTAAGGGTTGTGCTCCTTCCTCTAAATGTTCCACCATAAGAAAAGAAAAATGTTAATGTTCAAATACTTGAAAAGTATTCTAACTGATCCTCCCTCTCTTCCAAACAGGTTGGATGTTGAACAGATGATGGTCACCACAGTATGTGGCTGCTGTAGGCCACTTCAATTTCTTAAGAAGGAATTCCAACTACCATGCCAAGACCCAGATAACCCTGGAAAAAGGCTCATTAAAGAAATAATTGTATTTAGTGGCTGTGTTTGTGACTTTGACAGTTGCATACACTAGCCAGGCCTCCAGATGGCCTCAGATACCAATTTTTTTTTTCCCAATTAAACACTAATCACAATGTAGTATTTCCACAGTGACTGCTCATTGGTGGGAGTTCTCTTATATTGATTACACAGGATAGCTGCTCAGGAAGTGTCACTGCAAGGCTATCTGGAGTGTCAGTGAAGTTAACTGACAAATTACTCCTGATCAGGAAGGGGTTGGGAGGAGTGGGGGAGCACGGGGTGGGAGAATGGGCAGGGTGGGGGTTGGGAGGGAAGACCAGGTCAGAGACTGGCCTTGCTCAGGGTGGTACTTCACCAGAGGCTAAGATCTGGCCTATGCACTGTGCAGTAACAGAAATTTTACTTTCAAATAAAGTAGAAGGAATTGAATTTGCTAACTTATTTCTCATTATTTGACCAATTATTTTAACTGAAAATAGTGTGTTATGTTCATTACAGTTGAACTAGGACCTGTGGAACAGCCCAGTACTTCATCTTGGTTGTCTTTTCTCCCAGTGACCTGTTCTCTTTCCTTTGACAAATGGACACAGCACTTGTGCTTGTCATCCATACACAGCTGCTGTCAGAAAGCAAGGTGCTACAGGAAAAAAAAAGCTAATTGTGAGGTTTCTACATGCACCCTTAACATGGTGGGACATGTCTAGAAACATCATTAACACAGACACAGTGATTTTTGGACAACACAGAAATTTGCAGGGCATTTCTCTGCAAGAAATGAAAGACCATATGTGGCTGAACAGGACACAGGTAGTTCACTCACAAGCAGTTTCTACTTGCTGCTAGTAGAGAGTATTATTTACTACTTCGTTTGCAACATTTAAGAAAAGGGTGTATGAATGCACAAAAGCTCAATAGCTCCCAGGTTAGATTTTTTTCTTTTAGCAAGTTTTAGGGAAGTACTAAGAATCTGAAGCATACACTGAAAGCTTGAGTGAGGTTAGTTAGCAATTTAGATACTCTTCTTTTACAGTGACATCAAGTTTTTGGGGTTTTGTTTGTTTGTTTTTTTTTAAACAAATCCTGCCTATGTGTAATACAGGTGTATGCTCCATAGCCTCAACCATACCCCAGTGTTAAACCAGTTTACTGCATCATGTACTATTGATACACTTACTGTTGTTAAACACTATAGGAAAAAAGATTTTACATCAAGTTGTTTTTTTTTTTTTTTTTTTACAGCAGACTATTTGTAACATGTGACCAAACACACCAACAAAAAAAAGCCATACACAAACTCACTGGGGGAGCAGAGATCTGCAGGCCAGGTAAGACTCAACTGAACACAATAGCTTGCAGAAAAGAATTTACCATTACACATCAACTGTTGTTCCATAACAACCATTCCATGCAAGTATTCTTTACACTTCCATGCCCCCAGACAAAAAAGGACATTTTGATTACTGTTCTAATCATTTATTTAATCTTAATACGTTCTTCTGATGAATATAGTCTAATATATAGTCTTCTATATGAAAATTCTCCACTTAATTTGACAGAACTTTGTTTTATACAAATAAGACAATCACCATAAATGTTACATACTGGAGTGTAGGTCAAGAATGAACATATGCTACCTGTTTTGCTATTCAGTTATTTTCACATGTCAATGCCTGAAAATACTGTACTTAGAAACAATAACACTGTTTACTGCAGAAATTACTTTGTCTGCTTGACAGGATACATCACTTTGGTAAGTTAACCATCATTCACAAAAAAAATATCAAGTATTTATCTTTAATTTGTTCACTTTTCTGCTCATGGCTTAATTGAGCTGACATTTAATACAAAGTATGAACAGTCATAAGCATAACACAGTCACCACTGAAAAGACACTTTCCCTTACCCCCCTCCTTCCCACATTTTTAATGCACATTTTAGCACAGCTTGAACCAAAGCAAAGTGAAGTAAAGTAGTGCAGTGTCTCAAGGTGTCCTTTAATGAGGGCACAGAGCATTTTCAGGTGGACAGATATACAACAGGCTCTGGAAAAAATGAAACAGAAGCTCCTCCCCTGTCGTTGCCAAGACTCCCTTTACTTCAGCCCATTAGATTTTTAACGTAGCAGCCAACAGCATGGTTAAGATAACAGGACTAATGAAGAGACATATGGCATGCAAAAGACAAAACACAAGGTAGTCCATTAGTATTTTGCTAACTGCCCAACCTGACCGCAGAACTGCTTATGAAGATTTTCAAAGAACGTTTCTGATCAAAGAGTCTTGATTAGCTACTTGACAGGCCATAAAAAGGCCAATTGTTCAAGAGAACTTTTGCAGAAAGACCAGGTCTATAGCCAACTTTTCAGACATAAACATCCACAGTTACCAGCCACTTCTGGAAAACACAAAACAAAACATCTCCCAAAATCCACACGCCACAGCCAAACCTTTGTACCTTATTTTTCACTTGCACTCAAGTATGATCACAAGCCTTGAACCAAACCAAATTATAATCATCCAGTTCCATCATTTAACTCAACACACTCAAGAAAAAAGGCATGCTCAGTCACATAGAATCCTGTCCCCTGCTGTCCACTGGGCAGCATGACAGGTGCCTCATTTAAATGTATTTTCACTACCACTCAAAACCTTTACTTCATGGGCATACTTGTCTGTATGTGTTGAGACACCAGTCCCAGGCTTCCTTTAAATAACCTTGAGGAAATCTTGGTCTGAGGTTCACTTCTCATGTCAGCAGCAGCTGACTTGATTCATTATTACGTATAGCACTTGCTGAAAACTGCCCACAGTTTCTAACTGCCCTACCTCACCCGCTTTGTTTTAGCGGCTTTTCTTGCATTTCAAGGCTTGAAGAGTGTGAGCCAAAGTTGTGTCCACTTGCTTCTGGAGGGAGGCTGCAAAGAGTTTGGTGATGTGGAACAAGTTACAAAGACTTTGGTTGCAAAAACCGCAACAAAAGTTGAGTATTTTTGGGCCTTCTTTTTTTGTCTTCTCAACATAAGTTTTCTACACCATTTTGGATATCCTTACCACCATTGACAGACCGGAAACTGCTCAGATACAAGTTATTCAACCTCTCGAGTTTTAACATTGCTGTACACTGGGGAAAAAAAATATTGTTTAAAATTACATTTTCATCTGAAAGAGTGCATGCCTTACAGTCCTTCAAGGGCCCGTTTCTTCCCACTTCTCCTTTTATACAATACCAGACTCTGAAGTTAGTTATATCACATCATTAGGACCATTACTTGCTAAGTCTGATGGGAAACAGTAAAAATACAGAACAGAATATTTAACTTCAGTTTAACTAACAATGAACAAATATTTACTCATTCACTACCTACCAGAGAAGCTCACCTCATTATTTGAGATAATGAGAAGGATTAAGAATAGTTTTTGTGTTCAATCCATCTTCCAAACATCAGAAAACATTAAGATGTAAAGGATTACAAGATTAATACTTTAAGACTCTGGTCCTGTGACATTTATCAATATAAAGATTGGTGACTACATAAATGTTCATTTGAATCAGATTTAAACACATCTTGGAATTTGCCCTTCCATCCAGTACAAGACTTGTGGCAATCTTCAAAAAGTTTTGACTCTACGTTAACATCTGAATTAGCTTTACTGAGCAGCATTACACATCCATTTCCTTCAGCTCAGAGCAGAGGGAGTACCTGTTAAAGGCACTAAGGCAGAATGTTACTTACTAGCCACTTCCAGTTGAAAACCTTGGTTACCACATCTAAATCAATTTCCCTTTAACAAGTTTAGAAGCCTGACCTCTGCAAAAAAAAAAAAAAAACAAACACCACCAAAACAAGGGAGCACAATACAGCCCTCCCACCCTTCGTGTAACATACTAAAAGCCATTTTTAATGTAAAAAGTCGCTTCCCTGTACTGTACATTTTATAGCCTTAACTTCAAACAAGGGTCAAGTCCTATTAAGGCAGGGAGCTGGTATTGGTTAACATTGCAGTACTCGGACAGTGATGTACAAGACATTTATTTGCAGTATGATGACAGTGATATAAATGGAAAAACCAAAACTGACATGGTTAATATTAAAACTGTTCTGACAGCAATTCACATAATCTCTGAGATACAGCTTCTTTACTTGTTCGTAGTGTGAGCCTATACATCTGAAAGAGAACATAAAATATTACTTACTTTTTAAACACGGTTTGGCATTAAATGAATGCACAGCCAACTAGTGAAAGCTACCAGTTACCTCTTAACTGTTTTGTTAGATTTGATAGGAAAAAAACCTTGAGGTAAAACATTTGGAGGCAGCCAGCCACTGAAGTAGTACAGCTTTTTCAAACCATAGGCTGGAGTACATCTTCAAACACTTGTTGAGAATTATCATTGTTCTAATATTTTTAGGCTTCAACAGCAAGGTGTTGTCCAAAATATTTAAGAGGAATAAATGTTGTGGAAAAGCCTAAAGACTCTCTACTACCACTTGTCCAGAAAAACACTAAGATTTACTACCCAAACTTACTTTTAGTCTCTCTGTTAACTTTGATAAAACCTCTATCAAAATGCTTGAGGAAAAATATTCTTAACATTGTGTTTGTTTGCTTATGCTCTTTTAGCCAGCAAATCTTTTATTGATTTAAAGTGGCAAAGGGAATTATACTTAACCTCCCCAAGGTGCACAAACCAGAAACATTGAGTGTTTGCAACCTTCAAGAGAAGATGAGACGCCATGGACAGCCTGGAATAATACAATGATCTCTTCCAACAGGAAAGAGAATTGCTATGAAGTGGCTTACCAAACTGGGCCAGGACCAGCTGCTACAATTTAATTTCTTGTTGGAGTCTGCAGTCACAATTAGCTATTGCAGTAGTGATTTTAAATAAATACCTTAAGGAGTTTCAGATACAGACAGATATTTAGTTCTAAGAACAACTCCTACTTAAGCTCTACATACTTAAAACAGATACCTGTGCCTGAAGGTTGGGTTCAAGGCGCAGCAAGCATCCAATCTGAGTAGTTTTTGTATGTATGATACCAGCACCAACAAAGTTAGCAGGATTGGGATCTACCTCCTCAAGTAGGGCTGATCCAAAGCCAATTATCTGTGAAAGAAACCCAGAAGCTTTAGATGTGGGGACAGCAGGACACCAATACCGAGTCTACCCAGCACAGGTACTTCCAACTAGCAAAACAAGTCAGGGCTAAATTTTACTTGAAGTGTCAAGACATTAAAGAACTATCCAATACTGATTTTATTACAACAAATTTTTGAAGTGACAGAGTAACCCCGATAACGAGCTGTTCCTGAAAAAAACCAAAAGGCTCCTCTCCTAACTGAAAAGTAAGTTAGATTCAACATAAGTCTCTCCTGTTTTTGATAATGCCACTCCTGTCTTACACTAGTCACTTCTGTTTTGCCTAAGGTTGTCAGTTCTACAAGTAGTTGCTTGTTTTCTTTTCTAACTAGTAACTCTAGTATAAGTTAAGGCATGAAGTATTTCCAATTGAGTTTTAAGCACTGAATTGGTGTTTTCTTAAATAGCTTCAAGTTTACATCTGTTGTTGAAGACTATATCTAATTCAAGCCACACTGAGAAACAGTCTGTTCAACCCAGCACTGCCAATGGTCTGTCACAAAACACAGGACTTAACACTTTAACAGGATGATACAATTGCCACATAAACCAAGATGAACGAAGTTTGTTTACACCACTACCTTTACACTATGAATTAAAAATACCACACTACCACCCACCTTCGCTTTTGTGATCTCTGCATCCATCGGGTGTTTTGCCTTGAAGATGTTCTGTACTTCTTGTTTCGGACTGCAAGACAAGGCAAGATGAATACATGGTATAATATGTGTATTATGTACAGCATTGTTCAATAGCAACTAATTATATTGGGAGAGCTTATAACTCACAGGATTAAGCGATGGGGCGGTACACCAGTTACATTCACAATATATCCTTTTTCTTCCCTTGGCCCACCACAAGAGCCCCAAGCCCAGGTATAGACAAAGTCTTACTTGCTCAGTTGTTTCCAACGCTGAAAGAAGTCTTGAGAAGACATCTCTGTTGGCTGGAAAAATTTATTCAGCGTGATGGGTAATTTTACCGAAAGATTTTGAAATGTTCCACCATACCTGCATATGGAATAAAAGAACACTGTATATGCAGCAGTGTCAGCAGTCTCTAAGTCTAAATCAACCAAGCAATTGAGGATAAACACTAAGGTGCCGTTGTTTATGATTAAAATCCATCAACTGCAGATAATGTTATTTTTAAGATACAGTTTTAATCCACTGTTAAATAAAATTATTTGCTCTGCTTAGATAGCACATGAAAGTGAATTGGCAGAACTTCTAGTAAGGATCTCACACTTTCAACATAGGTTGTTATCCTTCTAGATGGCACCTTTAGGTGTGAAATATATCCCTGTAAAATATACCAGTAAGAACCAGTTTAGACTAGAATAACAGAACGTAGCCTAGAAATCAGGATTTCCTAAAGGCTGATGTTGAGTGGACATAACAAGATTCTATTTTTGGCTGCATGCATTTCTAGTCCAAGTTGTTTGCAGAAGTGTTCTTTGTTTCCAGAAGGGAAAAGTTACTGCATATATTCCTGTCAAGATTTCTTAAGCAAAGAGGAAGATTGCCATTTCATACACACAGTGGAAAGAGAAGTCATGGACACATTTTATCAGTAGCTGCTTCTTGATTAGTTGTTTGGGTTTCTTTTAAACCACACTGTTCCAAGTGGATTCCCTACCTCCTCTAGTAGCTTAAAGCCTAGCGAGATTTTTCAAGGAAGTTGTCTACCCAAGGGAGCTTTATGTTTCCATATTCTAGACTTCAGAACAAATTTAACGTCTTTCATCTAATTAATTCACTAGCATTTGAATCATGTTTTACCTGAATTGAATGTTCAGGATTGGAGCTTCCATAAAGTCTGACACACATTCAATGTTCACAACCTGTTGAACCTGTGCACCTCCATCCACTGTGGGGTCAACAGGTTTTGTCTGAAGATTCAGGCATAAGAAGTGGTTAAGGAATTGGTAACTTTAAAAACAGAAGTAGATCCTCCAGTGAGCTACATGAGGAATTAGCATCATGTCCACTTATTCTCTATATGCCACTGAATATTAAAAGCTCAATTCTTGTAGAGCACAAAAGGTTTCTCTTTTTTCCATACTGACATACCTAGAACCAATAACCCCCACAATTCTCAGTTACTTGGATACTCTTAAAGAAATATCTTCTCAAAAAAGCCTGGGCTATTTCACCTTGATGTGAGCATTACAGTGATGCTTTGAGTCAAACAAACTTGATTACATAGTCTCTCATAAATCCTAAATTTGCAATACCAAGCCTTAAGAACAAACTGTAAATTAAGAGCTTATTTTGAAGTATCATAATCTTTGTGCACATGTATTCTTCTACCCCATCTCAAGTCTGACGTTATCTGCTAATGCAGGACTTAAAGGTCACCACATCTATACCCCTTCTACTTCAGTGGAGAAAGCTACAGAATTATGTTACATATTTATACAGCCTAATTTCTCCTTATTTCAACAGTAAAATTTGTGTTTGTAACCAGAGCTTTAAGGAAAGAATCTTCTATCTTTGTGCAAGAGTTGTTCTTTCTACAACAGCTTTAGAAAGTTATCAGCAAGTTTCTCATTTCTTCATGTTCAAGGACAACACTTGATCCAGCAGCTTTATTATAGTTTTGTGCAGCATAAAACACAAAACCTAGATAGGAACAGACACATGCTACCGCATTTAAGGATATTTGACTGTAGGTCATCTGAGCAGATTACTGTTGGAGTAAAATTCAAGAACTGTGTTGATGTCTTATTACCATAGAATATGAACATACGTCCTAGAAAGAATAAAAAAAGACATCAGAATTTTTAGGTACACCACATGTAGCCATACTTAAAGCATGAGTAGTTCAGTACCTAATACATTGTCTGTCTGTCTTTAAAACAACTTTTAAAAACAGAGCATAATTTACATGGTTTCTCTTACCAAGATATTCACAGTTCAAAATGAAATAACAGATTAAAAGAAACCATCAGACCTCTCCCAGAATAGCTGTCACACAGGCAGTTAAATAATCAGTGGCAGTCTTTCAGTTGCTGGAGAACATTACTTTACATATAAATAAGCTCTTAAGGTACCAAAAGTGATGCAGAAGGGGAAAAACAAGCAATCCTAGCGCTGGCCTGTGTTCAATTCTCAGCTGCTTCCTAGATGTTTTCAGTGTCTTGTGCATTAATGTACTATGACAGACATGGCTGAAATGTATTGTGTATCATTATTACAATAAGCTACACCATAAAATGTAAAAATTGAGGAGAATGGTCCCTTATAACCCTGGCTGTACTAGTCTTAGAGCTACGCAGCAAGAGCTGGAGCTTGCAGTACCACTTAACACACCCACTTCATCTCAGCTACCAAAACAATCAAAACATTTAAGGAAACAAGAACCCACACAGAAGCCAAGGACACAAACAGTGAAGATCCTAAGACAGGTTAGGCCTGAAATCACATTGGCCTCTTAAGTAACTGAAAACTAAGACCTATCCACACTATCAGGCTGGCACTGGGGTTGATAATGCAGACAGCTAACCACTTGACCTGAAAGATCTTACCCAGGTTCTGTCGAAATTCAGATTTCAATCCTATTTGTAGCAACTGATTTTCAAATAAGACTCCATTATTTTTACACACAAACCTAGGGAAGAGAAAGAAAACATGTTTTAAATTGAGCCATATTAAACAATATTTAGAACCACAAAATTCAGGGTTTATACAGAGGATGAAGATTGTGGTTAACCTAGAGTGCATCAGTCTGTGAGAGAGGCCTTTGCAGAAAACTGCAGTTAGAAAAGACAATTTTACAACCAAAACCACCACTTGTAGAACACTAAAAGAACTGAAATTTTTATTTGATAGGATGTCTAAGAAACTACAAAGGAAGTCACAATAAGCTATATGCACACACACACTGCCTATAAAGGACCAGGCAACAGACTAGGATTTTTCTTATTCATATCCTTGACAACTTCTGAAACTCATTAGGTTGGTGCAGAATTGAAAAGTTAGAAGCTTTGACTGTTTAAACCTGAAAGAAAAAAGAATCCCTTATGTGATACAGAACTGATAAAACAAGTCAACTGTGAGCTTTTTTTTTTTTCCATTTTGAGAGATGAAGCCCATTCTGCAGTGATTTCAGTCCTTTCTGTCACCCTTCACTTAAAAGTAGAAGAGGTGGTCAGCAAACATCAGCCTTTTGCATGCAAGGCACTTCAAACATACTCCCAAATACCAGTACTTTTGACAATTTACTCTTATGTTTTTCCTCTATTTGTGAATAGTTGCAAAACTTAATATAAAACTGGTATTGCCTCATTTTAGAGCAGTATGTGATAGCACTGACTAGTAAAGGCAACTCTAACCTTTGTATTCATGAGCTTGTCATAAAATCCACAGCATCTACAGAGGTGTTCTAGTCACAAGTCTGACAGTACATGTTTCTCTAGTTTTGCTGGTATTAAGTTAATGAACAATATAGTTTTGCTTTATAACTATATTCTGGAAGTTGCCCAGCCTTGCAAGGTTTTAGTATTGCTTACTTGTGAAAAAGCTCATCAGCATCATGCACAGTATCAGCTGGTTCCTCAGAAACTACCTCAGATGAAGCCAGGTCAGGGCTAGTTCAGGCAGCACAAAGGAAGAAAGGCAGTAGCGACAGAGATAGGAGTTAGTAAAGACAGCTTAGTGCTTAGTTATTTCTTTTACCTCCTTCCTCAAAAAAGGCACTGCTGAGTTTAATGCATGAAAAATTTATTAGCTGCCCTAGCTCGGTAAACCTAGAGAGGTTTTAGGTATTAGGCAATGTTTTCCCCCACTTCTCTCCCCCACCCCACCCCTCCCTGATTGTTAGGAACCAGCAATTCTTCCCAAAGACAGGAGACAGCCAAAGGTGTTCAGTAGCTTAAATTTATACCTCTTAAAGAATCAAGTCCTTTTACATGTTTAATTGTGAGAGCAAAAAAGTTTTAGTTCAAAACCGTAAATGCAGATGTCTATTAACTACTACAAATGTGCGCTTTGAAGTGGAGGCCTCATCAACCTTGGTGGCATTTCTAACTACAGCTGCGCAATCAGTTCTTAAAAACACACAAGTATTAAGTGCAGGTAAGACTATATGGGCACACAGAGAATGACTTACCCAAGTAACAGATTAGAAACAAAAGTGACAACAGCACTAAAGAGCAGGAAACTGTAAAAGGCAACTTCTCAGTATCATTAGAGAAGCATTTCATCATCTACAGACAGACCAAGGAGTTGGGCAATGCTATACTTTCTTCTGCAGAAAGAGAAAACTCTTTTTAGGTAACTTTTGCTTCTGAAGCTACTGGTATTGGGGTTCCCCCCCCCCCTTAAAAAAGCTCTAACAAGTTTGTGTAGCTTCGTAAAGTCTTGGTATTGTGTAGCATGATTAAACACTTATGGCCTTCCAAGAGAAACATGGAATCAAGTCTTAATCACTGCAAACCTGCAACAATGCACTAAATATGAAATTTTGATGACAGTCTCAATGATCCAGACAGATTAGTTTCACTTTTTATGTCTTTTACATTAAGATGCATTGCAAATTTGTCATGACATCATTCAAAATTTGGACCTTGACAACAGTAACATGTTCTTTGGCCAATAAGACAACAGATTTTAGAAGATATTCTGTGATCTTATACTACTTATTTCCAAAATTTTAGCCAAATAACATTTGATTGTAGCCACAGTATCTTTTAATATTAAAGTGATTAATAACACATTGCACCTACACTACACTTGGCAATGTAATTAGGAAGATACTTATATCAAATCCCCTTAAAAAAAAGCAGGGTTTTTTTTCCCCTTTTCACACCTGTTTGTTAGGCAGTAGCAGAATAATTTATATATGTATCTTGAAATTCTGAGAACCAGTATCTCTGGATATAATCCATATCACTGTTCCAGTATCAGCTTGCCATAAGTAGAGACACATGAGAACACTTTAGGGAAGTAAGTTAACAAAAACGTATTCATATCAGGCCAGATAACCCCCAAATTCAGGATGTACTGAGATGCACAAGCAGCTTAGTTTAACAAAGAAAGAAAAGCAGCATGAAAACTGGGCAATACTGTGTGGCTAACATCCTCAGGTTGATTACTACCAACTCAGTTTTTCCATGAGCAGAAGTATTCAATAAAAACAGCACATCCAGCACAGAGTTCAACACCTCTGTCACTGCACAACTACCACCCAGGAATGCATTCAATAAGCTGGAACAAAACCGAGAGTTATTGTAGGTATTTTTTTAATCTAATCCTGTTTTAGCAGAAAAATAATTCTTCAGATTCCTTATAGGGTGACTAATTACCTCGCAAAGTTGTCATCAGAACCAGGAGCAAGAGGTGCAACCGCAGAAGCTGAATCTGAAAATACATCCACCAGCAGGCTACCACTAGAGGAAGGTGGAGGAGCTGAATTGGTGAGAGGGGCAGCACCCAGACCCAGCAGATCCGCAGATGGAGAAGGAGTAGACTAGGGAAGACAAGACACTTTAGTGTTACACTACAGCAAAACTAAAACAAATTTGCCTCTCTTGCATAGACAGCTAAGCTATGGCAAAGTGCATCTCCCCAGCCCAAATCAAGCTTTGAATTGATGTAGAAGGCTTCATGAATGCAGTTATACCCTTGCATTTCAACTTCAGGTTATTTGCACATGTGGGGGCTGGTTCCCTCCCCCTGCCCCCCCCTTTTTTTTTCTCTTTTGAAGAGAGTTATGCCCATCTAACCATTAAATAAAAACCCAAAATTTTTCTGTCTAGAATCTGATTCTGCAGAAGATAGACACCAAAGTTCTTCCCCCTCATTCCTCCCCTCTTAGCTTCAAGGGAAATTAAGTATTATAGGGAATAAAGTCAAATGTGTTGCTTTTCTTTTATGAAGAGTCCAGCAAGACAGGCAGTAGCTTTTACACAAACTTAAATTAAGACACCACAGCATCTTTAAAATTGACTATCAGTTTAGTCCCGAGTTTTTGAAGCTTGGCAAACCTTAGAAACAACATAAAAGCTAACCAGCAAAAAAGAAGAGCCTGTAGCTACTTCAAGCTGCAAACACTAAAGGTAAAGGCAAGACCTTTAGATTCACACCCCCACAGATCAAGTAGCCAGGACACAGAATCATGCAACAGAGGCTGCATATATATATATATATGCGCGCCCAAGTCACATGCAAGAAGATAGACTGTTAAACAAAATGTTCATGTATTAGATGTTAGCAGCCTACAATATGCCAGATACGCTGAAGATAAGTCATGAGATGCATTTGGATTGAGTCTGAAATTTTGTTTTTGCAAGCTAACTCAAAGTTACCATATACTCCAAAGACCAAGTTTGATGCAGCGTAACTAAAAATTCCCTGGCAAAAAATTTTCAGAAACCAATCAGTAAAAGCTACTGAAAAAAGCTGAACTCCAATTTGGCATGTATCCTTTGCATCTAAGCCAAGATAGCACCAAAGCCACTGATGAAGGTAATGTAGCAGAGTTTCTTACATGGCTGCAACCCATGAAGTGAAAGCTCAAAGCACAATGCAATTTCAACTGCCAGTCACCTCAGTCAATTTGGCATGCAAAGGAAATTTGGCAGCTTTCCTGCTGGCAAGGTATTTGTCCATTCAAAAAAGCTGCATTTGGAACATCTACTCTTACATATAGCATAATCCCTTAACTCTTAGTCATTGCAATAACAAACTGGGCAGGTAGTGCGCTACAGTATTTCCTTCTCTTAGGTAATCTACTACAACATCTCAGATGTAATTACGAGTTATACTAGTCATTAAAACCAGAAAAAAGTGTTACATTATGGGAACAATTCATCCTACAATCTTTAATTGACAATAAAATGAGGCATTTTAGCTCAGAAGAAACAAGACTCTGTCCTTCTCTACCATACCGTACTGTCAAACGGTAACAGCATTACATTGATTTAAGGACATCCATGTTAAGTCAAGCACTGCCCACTTCTACTAAAAACAATAACAATCAGAAACAGATGCAAAATATCTACCATGTTAGACAAAGAAAAAGAACAGCTGATATTTTGAAATTCAAGTTACTCCTCTTAAACGTGTTAATTTTATAATCTCACCTTCACTGGCAACAAAATTCCCATTTCTAGGTTTACATTTTTACTTTGAGAAATATTGCCGTAAAAGGGGTTGGTTTTTTTTTGGTTGCAGAGAGTTTGTCCCCATTTACTTAAGATTTCCAAAGGAAAATTGCATCCACGCATGCAACTGGAGGAAAAGCAGATGCATGTACCCCTGCTGTCTCATAGCAAGCACCCATAGTCTTAAATTTGAGATGAGAAATTTTAAACTCCTAAAAAGCCACTTTAAAGAAACCATTCTTTTCTCACTTGCAAGCCATCTAAATTAGTGAAACAGCTTTTAAACTCACAACAGCACTAGCATTAACAGAGGCAGGTTCAGCGCTTCCATTCATATCAGAGCTCCTCTCCTTTTTGATCTCTTCCAGGTCAGTAACTGTGCCTGGGCCTTTCTTCTTCTTGAGTTTAGCCAAAATAGAAGATTCCCGCTCTGGAAAGGGAGGCATTTCTTCCAGCACTGTAGCCTTATCACAGAAAAAAAAAAAGCGTTAAATTTACAGAAAAAAGCCAATCCAGCTTCTGAGTCTTTGAAGAGATACACCCTTATAGATTGCATGAGGCAAAAGCAGAAGTAATTATCCACAATGAAAACAACTATGCAGTTTATACATTGATGGTGTACACTTGCTTTTAGAAAAAAAAAAAATTATTTAAAACTTTCTGAAGTTCTCCCAAAGCAGTTGTTTTAAGAGAACGGAGCTTATCACTTCCCTGGTACAGTACTAAAAAAAGAGTTTTATTTTTAAATTAAGGACCATTAGGTCTGCTATGACCTAAGTCAAGCAACCTAGACCGAAACCACAGATACTGAAGGATCTAGTCAGACCAAAGCTTTTATTAGCTGTCAACATCAAGTGTACCATGCTCTGGACAGACCTGACAGTATTAGGTTAAAACACCATGAACTTCTACAGACAAAAAAAAAAATTCAGCAAACTTACAAGTTTCCTGCCCACCGTCAAGTAAGTCCTCAGAACAAAGCACTAGTCTTTTGGTGTCTGAATACTGTAGCACCCCGTACTACGCCAGCTTTCGCTAGCTTCCCAGCTCCAGATTAGCATCTTTTAATGGTTATTTGTCCCAATAAAGCAGTAACAACTTTGATTTTAGCTCTAAATTAAAGATGGCTGCAGCTGAATTAGGTAGACTAAAAGAATCAGCACCCACATTGTGGATCCTTAAATCCTGCATTAAGATTTCTAAGCAATCACGTAAGGTTTAGTGGAGTTTACCTGTTCAGACAGACACAGCTAAAGACTTCTGTATAACAAAAAAAAAAAATCTTTATACCTACCAATATATCAGTACTGGCAATAGTACTGAGCCTCAAATACTCAACAGCTCTCTGCTGCAGCTCAACATCAGCATTCTTTAGCTGACTGTCACTGCGCAATACATCTTGAATTGTAGTTTTGATTTCTGGAAACAGGTTCACAAACTTGATGTAGGTAGACAGAAGCAGAGCTCGGGTAGGAACACTACACAGATGAAACTTGGAATGTAGCAAGTTGAACTGGATGAGGGGACTTAAAAGATGGGAAGAAAAATAATCTGTTCAGTTTTTGTAGACATGATAATTCCTAATGCATTACTAGCAAGAGCTGAATCATTTGTTAACTGGTCTTTAGGAATATTAAATAGACACTGGATTCTTTACTGAAAGTGTTACTACTTCAGTTCAGTACTTTAGAAGGTGTTTTACCTTGATCTTGGATCACCTGCTATCAGATTTCCAAATTCTCCCAAGATGTAGCCACCTACTTTTACAAGATTCTCATGGCACGCTGGAGCTTGAAGGGCCTGTAAGAACACATTAATAGTAATCGATCTGTACTGTATCAAAAAAGATCTCTTCTGTCACTTCCATGTCCAGTTTCCTAGTCTACTCTCCTGTAAGGGCAGACCATAATTCTAAGCACTATAGAGCACTTATGAGAAAAGCACGATAGGTTCTATGACTTTACAGAAGAACCTCTAACATAAGTACTACTTGCTTCAGAGCACTCTTAGGCCCATCTAGCAGCAGTGTGGACTTCTGAGGACAGATACAGCTGCTTAGGTTTCCCGTTACATCTTTAGAGATGTCAGAATGATGGTAATATACTTAATCTAAATCTTACAAAAATATGTTGAAGCTGTCCAAGATAAGAACACTGTCCTTATGGAATATGAAGAAACACATAGCAGGGATAAGTTCTGAAAGTCAGCTTAAACATTCAGGAAAGGAAATGAAAAAAGTGGAAAGCCCATGTGAAGAATCTAAACAAAGTCACAGTAACAAGGCCAGACATTTGAAAGTTTTCTCCTTTAATACTTCAAATTCCAGTTTTATCAGATCCTGAACAGAAGGAATCTACATGATTCTAGAAGGATCATCAAGTTATCATTTTGAGGGGGTTGGATTCCTGCATGCAGAAAACTCGAAGAAAAAAAAAAGCTGCCCTGTAAAAGGCTTTTCTTTTTACTAAAGTTCAGTAATTCTCCAGGTAATGTAATTTCCTAACTAAGCTATCCATTCAATGCCACCCACCAAAATAACATAAAACCCAGCATAACCTCCCTTGCCCTCCCTCACCAAAGCCAGAACAGTACCAGGTGTATTCTACATTCCTTAAGCCAGAGAAGCTTCTCATCACCTTAATGCAGTCTCTGGCTCTGAGATATCTGTGATACTAGTTCTAGTGAAAGCTTCAGCAGCTTTTTGTTGAAATATTCAGGATCCTATTTGTACTTCTTCCTAACATGTGGAAGCATATGCACATGCTAGATCACATGGTGTTTACTTAATTCCTACCTCATTTTGAAAGTGAATTGAAAACAGTTATTCTCACCTCAAAAACAGTCTTTGCTGCATACCCTTGAACATCATCCCTGTTGATGACAATCTGAATAACTCGATACCACACTTCTTCACTGACATAGTCACCAGCAATGCGAATCAGATTCAAGATTGTATCCACATACCAGGTATAATCCACTGCATACTTCTCAGCTAGAATTGCTACTTTCAGAACCTGAAAGCACGTAAGAGAATAAAGAAGTTTGACTAGCTTATAGTAGAAGCTGTGTATATGAAAGTGAATTAATACACCTAGTGATACCCCATGGTAGCACAGAAGCCTCAGTTTCAGATGTGTCAGCTTGCTCACTTGCTCCACAGCTAAGATGAAAAGATGAACACTGAAATTCTGTGCCAGAACACACTAGTTGCCAGCTATGTAATACTTTCCCCACAAAACGTTCTAATACGTTGTGCATCTGTGGCTTTTCAACTGTGTACCTAAGTGATCAAGAACAATTTGTTGAACATTTTTTGTTTGCTATAAAAACACCATTTAAACCACCACTGAGACAGGACCAAGTAGGAAACTGGAGGTCTCAAAAAAAAAAACCAAACCACACCAACAACCACCTCAAGCTAGCAGAGACAGACCGAAATATAGCTGACTTTTTCAGGTCATACGAAGATTCCTATATCCTGAAGCACAATCAGCACAGGACGAGACCTCCACAAAATTTGTTATCAATTGCATTTATTCTTTTAAGAGTAGTAAATTTATTCTTGCATCTATTCTTTAAAGGGTAGTAAATTACCAGAATGAAATCCACATTATCTCCCAAGTCAGGGTAGACTGCTAACAGCAAGAGGACAGTACAAGACATAAATCAACCAACCCTGGATTCTATGTTAACTTCTCCGATCAAGAAACTTCAGCACCCAAGCTAATTACCATAAGTACAGGTTTTGGCTACTATTCTAGGAAGGTCGTTAAGTGAGTATTTCAACTTTTGCATTTTCTTCCTGCTGGGAGGAAGGAGATGGATATCATGCCTCTCTTTTAGCTGATTATGGTTTGGGAACCCTTGGACACAGAGAATGTTCTCACAGCACACACAGTACGAAGTTCTACCTACAAATAAGTATTTATCACACTAATTTTTGAAGCTATTAAACAGTTGACTACAGTAGGACATAACCCTCCGATTTAGAGACTGTATTTGCTCAAGCACTGATAAAATTCACTTCACTTTCTATATGCAATCTCCCAAGACCAAGATTAGTTGTTATAATTCCTAGTTTCTGAGGTTTTATTTCCCCCCTCCCCCATTAGTTTAACCTAAATGAAGAACATTCTTTGCTGTTAGACTACAAACTTAGGGGGTTTGGGGTCTTTTGTTGGGTTTTGTGTTGTTTGGTTTTTGTTTTTGTGTTGTGTTTTTTTTTTTTTTTAAACCACCATGAAAAAGAGTCTCTATCATAGACTATCCAGCATCCCAATCAATAAATGACACACATGGTGCAAAAGCCCACTACGAAAAAAAATAAAAGTCAGGGAAACAAGTATCTCACGATTTCTTCTCTAATGGAATAATCAGCAGTCTCCAAGTAATTCAGCATTTCAGCCACAATCTGCTGGGCATTGCTTCGGTCACACATGGCATACAGGAGATCTACAGCTCTTTGTCGTACACTTACATCTCTCTCAGTCTGCAAAAGGACACATAGCAAAAGGTCAAGATGATTTCATCTGTATTTGGAAAGCACATGCAACTTACTGAAGCAATGAAACTTACTATAAGTCACAGTCAAATTTAAAACAAATTTATTTCACCTTTCAGATGCAGAATGAACTTAGATATACCCTTCACATAAGCTATAAGCTTCTCATGTTATTCTCACTTTCAGTCACCTAGAAAGAGATGACCGGAGACTCAGCTTCTTGTTTTAGATATTACAAAAATTCAAATCACGAGGTTTTGTTTCTGTAGTATACATATTCAAATCTGTGCAAGTGCTGAAAGGATGAAGGAGTTTGTACAGAATACTCCACTATAACCCTAACTAGAGCAATTGAGTTTATGGTCTACTGCGTACTGGGTAACTGGCACCACTAGCCACAAACACACTAACAACTGGCTGAAATTGTCCAATTGTCACCAGGCCAATGGACAATTAGCTATCTGCAGGTTTAGTGTTGGGCTTGCCTTGTATCAATAGAAACCCAGCTAGAAGAGATATATATTTCATAGTTAGACAAATATATTAATATGCTACAGCGTGAGCTTGGAAGAAAATAATACGTGTAAACACTGAAGTGTGCAAGTAAATTTACATGCAAATCAGTCTTCCTCTTTTGACTTTTTTCACACAAATATGGCCTGGGAATGTGTCTTCCTGGTTTCTTGGCTTTCTGATTCTGTAGTGGAAGTTGATCTGCTCTACTCGTCCCCATAAGCTACTACAGTGAAGAAATAGTGTCTGATACCAGCAAGGCAGTAATAAAACAAAGTTTCCCCAGCATTTTCCATATTGGAAGAATTCTTCATCTTCAGTCTACAGCTTGAGGAGATACCAAAGTGTTACAGGTGCCACAGCTACAAGTATCAGATTTACTAGTAAGCTACAGAAATAAACTGAAGCTGACCTCTATCGTTGCCAGCACAGCAAAGTTTTGCAGGATTAAGGAAAAAAACCTAAAGCAGACTTCTGAGAATAACTCATTTGGTCCCCAAGTATTATTAGCTTAATTGGGGATAGGGGGCTTGGAGCAGTGGGGGAAAGGGCATGGAGGCACGGGAGAAGACAACACTCAAAACAGACTGCACACTTAAATATTTACCTTCAATGCATTGATAACTGTTTCTATGTGTGTTTTCACAGCCTCATGTGAGAATTCAGAGCTGGCAAGCGTGCACATGCTTTCCAGTGCTAGGTAACGCAAATTAGTTTCTCGGTGCTGCAAGAACTGACCTAGCTGGTTACAGGCACGGACTAGTAGATTTGGCTCACTGCACAGAACAGGAGAGAAAGTGAAAGGGTTAAAAGCAACAGGTTTGAGAACACCCAATACAGAACACTATTTCTGCAGTGGAAATTTCTTAAAATGCCTCGAAGTGTCTGCTAGAATGCCCCATTGATGAAATGAAAATTCAGATACTGTGAGCAAATAATTTCTGTTGGATGAGAGTGGTGGGTCAATACAAAACACCAAAAAAAGCAGCAACAAGAAACAAAGATACAAAAAAATTTGCCCACAGCAACACAATTCGTTAATGCTGTTCAATTCCATTGCTGTGCTTGTGTTTCAATCTAGCAAGCAACTTCATATTCTGTTCTCTCCCTCTTCCCCCCTAGGTAAAATTCCATTTAGTGTTCAAGACAAAGCCACAGATTTTCACTTTAAAAAATCCTCTCATAATAGAGGTGTTCTCGCAGCTCACCTGTCATGATGTATAATTAAGCTTATTGCCTCAAACAGCACCGCATTCTTTGCATTTGAGTGTTGTACTTTTTTTGACTTCGGTGGCTCCTGTGCTTTGTTAAGAATAGTTTCCAGGCATTCTGTTAGACGCCCACGTACCGCAGGGTCTTCTAGAGAAGAACAAGCCGTTGGACAACTTCATTTTGTTCAACACCCTAATCCCTACATTAGGCCTTCCACCTTGCTAAATGTGAATAAACTGAAATATTCTGAATACATTAAAAACAGTTCACCCTCCCCCGATATAGAGCTGGCAAAAGAATTCTAGGCCACAGCTCTATTTCGGTAAGAGCAAAAGCCAAACATGATCTCCACTACAATATATATCAAGGCTTTAATACAGTTGATAACATTAAAGAATGTTTAAAGTGGCAGTTGCAACTGGTTTGTAAGATGCACACTGGTTTGACACTTTGCTCTAAGCTACGTGGCCTTTTGAATTATGTTATGTATAATTTTAACAATCTGAAACACTCCAGAGTACAGACTTCAGTATCCTTGTATCCTATCAAGACAATGAGCTTGCACACAAAGTTATGGTAACACTACAGTGCAGTAGCTCTTTGGAGATCATGTACTGCATAAAAGACATGAACACTGTTGTGATTTGTGCATTACCTGGAGGTGGATAGCACTGTAACAGCCTCAGAAGTTTCACAGATAACCAAGGAGCAGGAACAAAGTAGTATGTATAGTCCTGAAGATCTGTTGATGCAGAAGTTACAATCTGTAAAATAAGCAGACAGCATATCACCTACTGAAGTTAAAGTGATGTGCAATCATGAGAAGGACCCTAAGCACACTGCAGGTCACCTTTGTCAGCAGCTTACAAAACTATGTCACTAGCAATGTTTAATTCAGTAGATTAATTAGGTGCAAGTTGTCATACTATGAGTATACCACCAGGTTCCCTAGTAACAGAAATTCAGTTTTACAGATGCAGTAGTCTAGAAGTCTCTTCCCAAAAGCATACTTGCTTTTCTTAAGAATGAAGGTGACCATCTCATAACACCAAAACGTTTAACTAGAAGCTTGACTTTCTTTGGTTCAGCAATTTATAGATTCAGACAACAGAAACCCTAAATATAGTGTTATAGTTGACTGTTGAGAGGATAACTTGGAATTCAAGCACAGGATGCTATGACAGACTGAACTAAAGCAGAAGGACCAGACACCTTCAGTAATATTCGTACTCCAGAGCAAAGAACAGATAGTTTTCACAGAAGAGGTTTATAGGCATAGTAAAATGTGATAAGGGTTAGATTGGGTTTCAAAGGAAGTATCCCTCATCATAGATTTCTTCTTCCCCTTTGATTTTTGATTTTAGGATAACCGTTGAGTTAGGCACTAGCTTTGCTCAAAGAAATTCTACCTAATTCTTGCTGCTCCATTACAGAAGAGCTATGCATTTCCCTCAGAACTCCCTTGCTTTTAAGTATTAAACCAAATCTTCATATTTGAAAAGAAGTTAAAATTTCTATGAACTATAAGTAACTTTGGGTATAACACCGCATAAATCTGGGTCTAAAATACATTTGTGAAGGAGTATCCTCCCATGCATTCCATATCTTCTAAAAGACAAAAATCAAACAAAGCAATAACATAAGGTTTCCAGCATGAAGATGCTAACTTACAGAAACGTGTCTCCACTACTCCCTGCACCCCTGCCCCTGCTTAACCCGCTAGACCCATTTACAGAACGTTAAATGCTTATGATTATTAACCTAGCAACAGCTCAAAAGGGAACAGGAAGACAACTCATCTTGTAAGAAACTTAGACAAAGTTAAAAGTATGGGCTGTATTTTTGAGGGTTTTGTGCAGAAGTCTGAAAAAAAAAAAATCAGTCTCTGATCCAACTACTCTTTGGTGTTTATAGTAACGTAAAATGAGGATTTAAAAACTCAACTGCATCATGAAGATCCTTTCAAATACAAGTAGTTGGGAAACAGAAAGACACCTCTTTGTTACATACACTTGGAGCATAGCAAGGATTACACCAAGAAAGTTTGGGCAAGCTAATACAGTTTTCTGCCCTGGTAAGCAACAAGTATTTAAAGAGATCAGCTGAACGAGCTATATGAAGTGAAACTAAATCATCTTCACTTTTAATGGTACACTAAACTAATCTGACCTGGAAAGCTGAATAAATAAGCAACAGTAAGCTAACCTGACCTAGAAAGCTGAGTAAATTAAGCAACAGTGAAGTATTATCAGGGTTATCATTGGACTCACTCTGCTTAATCTAGACACTGCCAAGGAGACTGAAGTTTTAAACTCTTCTGGGTTCTTCTGTGCTAAAGTGGTGATCAGACTTGTAGCTGCAGTAACCACACCCTAGGAAAAACCAAAGCAATACATTAATTTTTTAACAGTTTAAGATGCTGCTTATTAACATCTTTCACTTCAAGTACTTTTTAATACACAACAAAACTAAGCTTATTCCCATGACAAAGCCCCACATTAAAGAGCCCTTCATTTGGCTAGTAGCTAGACTAATTACACAACTTCAAAATCCAACAGGATTTTCAACAACATGATACTGCCATGCTTGCACAGTATTTCATGCTATTTTCGTATTAGGTTTGTCTCGTGTTTGGATAGTATAGCTAAAATAAAGCGCTAAATTAAAATAAAGCCTGGATGCAAATCGTCTCATTACACAAGAAAAGCATGAGTAGAAGAAATAGGATGCAGCAGATAAACAGGAAAGAATTCTGACAACCCAACATGAAGAGAAGGCTTTGTATTAACACAAACATTTTATATTACTGCAGACTAAAGCACTCTTATTACTGCTGAAGAACAGGTCTTAATAGCCTTACTTTCATAAAGTAACTATACAGTAGGAAAAAACAGAGTCTCTTATCTAGAACAATAGGTTTTTCTGAACCAGCAAGATAAGAATGACAATATGGACAGCACAGGACCAGGAAGTCCAGGGACTGACAGATCAGGCCTCACATTTTTATTGCAGGTCTACTCTTAGAAAGGCCTAGGAAAACTAGTATCACACCTATGCAATAGGACTTATGATCACAAGCCACAAGATAAATTTAACTTACAGCCAGAGAAAAAGAATTTGTGCGTGCCATTCTTATATCTCCAAGAAAAAGGTAAACAAAACTTTATTAAAAATTAATATATACAGGAACTAAAAAAGGATAGTAAGTCCTTAAAGAATTCTTTCCCCGACTCCAAAGAATACAGTAACCCATTTGCTTGTAAGACTCAAGAAGAAATAAATTAGTGTATTTAACAGCAAAAATTATATCATCCTCTATACAGAGTAGGCCCAAGAAGCATAACGAAGCTGATCTACCAAGTGCTGATCATTGAGGAGATGCACCACTCTAGACGTCCAGTCTCCCATGGGGACAAGGTCAGGAGAAGTTCTGTATAAACGCAGCAAGCACAAGGCAGCACTCTGCTTCACACTATCCATAGTATCTCTGCAAAACATAAATATGGATTTAAAATACAGTGTTTAAGTCACAACTATACTTGCAGGCCAGCGTTATGCTAATCTTTGCACTGACTCAGCATCCCTAGCCATGTAGCATCTTTTCAACAGAAGCTGAAAGAGTAGTTCACTGAATTCTTCCTACGTTACAGTATTCATTCTTCTTAATTTTGTCCAGTAACTTTAACTAGTCAAGTTTTCAACCATTACATATGTCTAGTAGCCTCTATAATAATTCTTTGCATCTTGGGGTAACATTTCATATCTTTTTATCATAATTGAAAGTTCATTATCATCATGATAACAAGCTTCTTCCAAACTGACACAAGTCAAACAGTTAAGGTACACTATATTATGCATGTGACAAAAGCGGGATATTCTGATAGGTCCTGCATATCAGATACAAATCATTAACTGCCCAACAGCTTCAGTACCTACAGCTAGCATGCAACCCACAAATCTATTCCCCTTGCCATCCATGTTGCTAGCACAGAAATGGACTATTTTAAGAGCAGCAGTAGTTCAGTGAACTCCCTTTCACAAAGTAGTCAGTTAAGCATTTTGTATGTTGCACAAACAACAGCTAAAAAAGCCATACAGAGCATTAACACTGAAAGTTTTAAGTGGCAGTTTATAGTATGCAACCTTGGTTAAACATTCATAAACCTCCACAGCCCCAGTAGAAGTTCAGTCTACCTTTTCTCTATGAATTTACCAGTCTTCCATGAAACCAAATGGTATCTCTGTAAAAAAAAAAAACCACACCACCACAAACAACAAACCAACCTGTTCCTCCCCTCCCTGTCCACTCCCCCCCCTCCAATTTATATTCAATCCAAGGGAGCTACACTAAAGTTGCAAATGTAACTGACAGCGCTCATTCTGCACAGGTCACATATTAAAATGTGTATGTGTACATGTCATATCTATTTTCGTAGAAACATAGATGCAATGAGGCCCTGGAGACTGATCTCAGAACATAGAACAGCTCCAAGTTCAAACAAGTCTGAACTGGAGGTGCTGTGCTCTGTCTACGATTGATGACCTTAAGTGAAATTTTTGGAACTTTTTAAGGTTATCTTATTAAAACCCATGAATCATCATTCCAGTATTGTCTCCATTATGCTACCATGGAGAACAGCACATGGCAAGGGCAGTGCAGGACAGGACAGCAACAAGCCTGACAGGGCCCCAGAACATGCCAGCTCTAAACATGCACCCTTCCACGTCCAAGAAAGGTGGAATTATGGGATTCTCCCTCATTTCCTCTACCAGACCAGATCCATAGTAAGCCATCAGGTGCTAGCTGCTTATTCTTCTCTTTCTGGCCCATACTACATTTCACCTCTGCAAAATAGCAACAATATTGAAGCATGGCATTATAAAGACATTATTTCAAGAGTTCAGGTGAGCATTTCCTAAGACTTTTGCCACAACTAGATCTCACATGATATATCCTTCCTCTTGTTGCCAACTCAGTGCACGTAATAGACAGTCAGAGTTACTGCTGCATAAGCACATTTCCAACATTTGCAAGCTCCAGAGCTTGACGTTTAGAGCTTTAACACAGTTCTTATATAACATGTTACTTTTTTATATTGATGTAAGACATTAATTTGTTATAAAACAAGTTCCATGCATATTCCAAAACATTTCATATCTGTAAGAGTTTAAATGCAGTGTTTGCACCTGGACATTTTTAAGTTTCAAAATAAATTAGCCCTACAGTCACAAGTTTCATTTTAGGTTTACTTGACTACAGTTCCAGACATTTGCCAGATCTGTTTAGAGACTTCTAGCAATACAAAGGGAAAGTCAGAAAGTTTGCAAAGACCATTTATTATTTACAGAAATTGCTGTTTATATGGCTAGTAGAGGAAGCAAGAAAGCTCACACAACAGAATAATCTCACATTCCTTATGAGGTCAGGACCATTTAAATAAGAGCTTCAGTTTACAACAAATTTGTAGTGTAAACTTCTATTTAGGTTGATTTATTTCTTCTTTTCATCAGGAAAGATATGGAAACTAAAACATACAGATTTCACGGCTGTTCACTACCACACATTTATACATGTCGTGGTTTAGCCTCAGCTGGCAGCTAAGCCCCACGCAGCCGCTCACTCACTCCCCCACGGTGGGACGGGGGAGAGAATCAGAAGAGTAAAAGTGAGGAAACTCATGGTTTGAGATAAAGACAGTTTAATAAGTAAAGCAAAAGCCCCGCACACAAGCAAAGCAAGACAAAGAATTCATTCACTACTCCCCATGGGCAGGCAGGTGTTCAGCCATCTCCAGAGAAGCAGGGCTCCGTCACTCGTAATGGTTTCTTGGGAAGACAGACGCCATAACTCCGAACATCCCTCCACCCCCTTCCTTCTTCTTTGTCCCAGCTTTATATACTGAGCATGATGTTATATGGTATGGAATATCTCTTTGGTCAGCCTGGGTCAGCTGTCCCAGCTGTGTCCCCTCCCAGCTTCCCATGCACCCCCAGCCTGCTCGCTGCAGGCCAGCATGAGAAGCTGGACTGTCCTTGACTACTTAGCAACAACTCAAAACATCAGCACCTTATCAACATTTTCTCATCCCAAATCCAAAATATAGCCTCACACTAGCTTCTGTGAAGAAAATTAACTCTGCCCTGGCTGAAACCAGGACAATACGGAACAAAAACTTGATCACAACAAAGCTGTAAAAGCCTATTCAAGATACTGACACAGTCTTAATTTCCATGTTGTATTTGTACACTTACACAAACAACTCCGTGGTCAGGTATATCAAAGTATCTGCAGTTGCTGGAAATTGTCACTATTTGTACTGTGAACCCAGGACTCCACAGCTTCAAGCATGGATTAAGCTGCTGCAATGGAACCAAGTTGCTGAAAAGGGTTCTCTGTGTATGTGAAGGAGGCATGTCATACCTACCCAGCTACAAGTATTTTTGGAATTTCTCCAGCAAATGCTTCCGCCATCTCCCGGCTACCCACATTAGCAATACAGTGCAGAGCAAGCCCCATGAAGGTGGGGTTGCGGCTGGCCAGATCATTCTTGATTGCATTGTTTATTAAGCGAATCAGCTCACTGTTGGAGTTCACTAGTACGGAGATGAAGAGATATCCCTGTGATTCAGAAAAAGGAAAATGAAAATTTATTTTAGCTAACTTGAATTATGCTTTTGTTAATGCCACAAGTAATTCTTTGAGACATAGAGTTCTCCTCCAGTACCAAACATATGGGCAGAAATAGATATTTAGATAGCAGAGTGAAGGCTAGAAAGATTAAGTGAAGTAAACAAAAATGAGTAAGTTTAGCATTACCCCAACTTATCAGCTTTTAACTGTTTCATCAATCTATTTCAGCATATACTCAGAAGATCATTTTAGATGAATGGGAACAAATCAAGAATTTGGCTTATTATTCGGACACTAGTAAGTTACATGTACCTGATAAACACAACCTTACCTAGGAAGATTTAAAGAGATATTCTGAAAATTAAAAGATTACTTACCTTTTAATGCAAGACTCAAGGCAGTTTCTTAACAAGAGTAGTAACTTTACACACAGTGCACATTTTAGCTTTTACAATTAGTACAAGATTCCCTGTGCACAAAGGTGTTTACATTTCAGAATCGCTCCTAGAGCCAAGACAAGACTGGGGGGAGGGAGGCTATATGAACCGAAGTCCTTTACAGACATAGACAACTGAGACAGGATATTAGACAGAACAAGCTCATCTTTTAGAGAGACCAAGTTACTCACAATTTGTTTCTCTGTGTATCTATTGGAACTGAGCAGATTTACAGCCTCCATGTGACCAAAGTCAATGTCATGCCCCAGGAGAAAGATGAAAAGCAGTTTGCAGACATATTTTTTCTTACTGTAACCATCCAGAGCCTTGTCACCTGGAAAGCAAGGAAACAAAGAACAATTAAGCCTATGTTGTTCCTGTATCTGGTTCTCCCCATTTCTCAGTTCCACTGAGGTACTATATTATATCTTACAGTAACAAGACCTACAGTTGTACCTAGCAACTAAGGTTGACATATCACCCTACAGAAGAGGGACAAACTGAGAGTTCAGCTATTGCAGTACTTGAATTTCACAAGCTTTAAATGTATTATTGCAGCTTTTATTCACTCTACAGTGAACAAAATGCTAAATATATCCACTTATCTCTGACTTAAAGGACTATTAAGTCTTTACATAATTTTGTGCTAAACACATGAGTTATCACAAACCATCACCAACAGATGTCAGACAATCAAACAGCTCCTGGGTTTTTAAAAAATTCCCATTCACAGAACATAGGTAGCTTGTGGCTCTTCCTAACGGTCCAAGAGAGAAAAATGCATAACGCTGAAAAAGCCAAGCTGTCACTGAATCAAGACATTCACATGATATTAGTTTTAAATATTTATCCAAATCTGAAATTCAATTCTAAGGAAAAAAACAAAACCTGAAGATTTTAGCGTTAATTCCATTTACCATTATCCATATCCTAAAGGACAGTCATGAAATGGTGTCATCATCTAGTCCCTGAATTATCTTGCTATGTCCTTAAAGTATTTTCTTACTAGAAGGCAGTACATATGGGTTTACTCAATTTTCCTATTCCTATTAAGAGCAGCTGTATGTCTTCCATACATGTTCTCTTGTTAGCCCACGTATCAAACCTTTATCACAGTGAAATGTCTTAACGATCTTCC